GGATGAGGGGCGAACGAGTGAGCGTGGGTGAATGAGCGAGGGGCGAGCGAGCGAACGTGGGTGAGCGAGCGTGGGTGAGAGGCGGAGCGTGGGTGAGCGAGCGAGGGGCGAGCGAGCGTGGTGAGAGCGAGCGAGCGTGGTGAGAGCGAGCGAGCGTGGTGAGAGCGAGCGAGCGTGGTGAGAGCGAGCGAGCGTGGTGAGAGCGAGCGAGCGTGGTGAGAGCGAGCGAGCGTGGTGAGAGCGAGCGAGCGTGGTGAACGAGCGAGCGTGGTGAGAACGAGCGAGCGTGGTGAGAGCGAGCGAGCGTGGTGAGAGCGAGCGAGCGTGGTGAGAGCGAGCGAGCGTGGTGAGAGCGAGCGAGCGTGGTGAGAGCGAGCGAGCGTGGTGAGAGCGAGCGAGCGTGGTGAGAGCGAGCGAGCGTGGTGAGAGCGAGCGAGCGAGCGTGGTGAGAGCGAGCGAGCGAGCGTGGTGAGAGCGAGCGAGCGAGCGTGGTGAGGCGAGAGCGAGCGGAGCGTGGTGAGAGCGAGCGAGCGTGTGAGAGCGAGCGAGCGTGGTGAGAGCGAGCGAGCGTGGTGGAGAGCGAGCGAGCGTGGTGAGAGCGAGCGAGCGTGGTGAGAGCGAGCGAGCGTGGTGAGAGCGAGCGAGCGTGGTGAGAGCGAGCGAGCGTGGTGAGAGCCGAGCGAGCGGGGGTGAGAGCGAGCGAGCGTGGTGAGAGCGAGCGAGCGTGGTGAGAGCGGCGAGCGTGGTGAAGCGAGCGAAGCGTGGTGAGAGCGAGCGAGCGTGGTGGAGAGCGAGCGAGCGTGGTGCGAGCGAGCGAGCGTGGTGAGGGCGAGCGAGCGTGGTGAGAGCGAGCGAGCGTGGTGAGAGCGAGCGAGCGTGGTGAGAGCGAGCGAGCGTGGTGAGAGCGAGCGAGCGTGGTGAGAGCGAGCGAGCGTGGTGAGAGCGAGCGAGCGTGGTGAGAGCGAGCGAGCGTGGTGAGAGCGAGCGAGCGTGGTGAGAGCGAGCGAGCGTGGTGGGAGCGAGCGAGCGTGGTGAGAGCGAGAGAGCGTGTGGTGAGAGCGAGCGAGCGTGGTGAGAGCGAGCGAGCGTGGTGAGAGCGAGCGAGCGTGGTGCGAGCGAGCGAGAGTGGTGAGAGCGAGCGAGCGTGGTGAGAGCGAGCGAGCGTGGTGAGAGCGAGCGAGCGTGGTGAGAGCGAGCGAGCGTGGTGCGAGCGAGCGAGCGTGGTGCGAGCGAGCGAGCGTGGTGCGAGCGAGCGAGCGTGGTGCGAGCGAGCGAGCGTGGTGATGGGCGAGCGTGGTGATGAGCGAGCGTGTGCGAGCGTGGTGATGAGCGAGCGAGGTGAGAGCGAGCGAGCGTGGTGAGAGCGAGCGAGCGTGGTGATGAGCGAGCGAGCGAGGTGAGAGCGAGCGAGCGTGTGAGAGCGCGAGAGCGAGCGAGCGAGGTGAGAGCGAGCGAGCGTGTGAGAGCGAGCGAGCGTGGCGAGAGCGAGCGAGCGTGGCGAGAGCGAGCGAGCGTGGCGAGAGCGAGCGAGCGTGGCGAGAGCGAGCGAGCGTGGCGAGAGCGAGCGAGCGTGGCGAGAGCGAGCGAGCGTGGCGAGAGCGAGCGAGCGTGGCGAGAGCGAGCGAGCGTGGCGAGAGCGAGCGAGCGTGGCGAGAGCGAGCGAGCGTGGCGAGAGCGAGCGAGCGTGGCGAGAGCGAGCGAGCGTGGCGAGAGCGAGCGAGCGTGGCGAGAGCGAGCGAGCGTGGCGAGAGCGAGCGAGCGTGGCGAGAGCGAGCGAGCGTGGCGAGAGCGAGCGAGCGTGGTGAGAGCGAGCGTGGTGAGAGCGAGCGTGGTGAGAGCGAGCGTGGTGAGAGCGAGCGAGGTGAGAGCGAGCGTGGTGAGAGCGAGCGTGGTGAGAGCGAGCGTGGTGAGAGCGAGCGAGGTGAGAGCGAGCGAGGTGAGATCGAGCGAGGTGAGAGCGAGCGTGGTGAGAGCGAGCGTGGTGAGGGCGAGCGTGGTGAGGGCGAGCGTGGTGAGGGCGAGCGTGGTGAGGGCGAGCGTGGTGAGGGCGAGCGTGGTGAGGGCGAGCGTGGTGAGGGCGAGCGTGGTGAGGGCGAGCGTGGTGAGAGCGAGCGTGGTGAGAGCGAGCGTGGTGAGAGCGAGCGTGGTGAGAGCGATCGTGGTGAGCGCGAGCGAGCGTGGTGAGAGCGAGCGAGCGAGCGTGGTGAGAGCGAGCGTGGTGAGAGCGAGCGTGGTGAGTGCGAGCGTGGTGAGAGCGAGCGTGGTGAGAGCGAGCGTGGTGAGAGCGATTGTGGTGAGAGCGATTGTGGTGAGAGCGAGCGAGCGAGGTGAGAGCGAGCGAGCGAGCGTGGTGAGAGCGAGCGAGCGTGGTGAGAGCGAGCGTGATGAGCGAGCGTGGTGATGAGCGAGCGAGTGAGCGAGCGAGCATGGGCGAGCGTGGTGATGAGCGAGCGTGCGCGAGCGTGGTGATGAGCGAGCGAGCGAGCGAGCATGGGCGAGCGGGTGAAGTGCGCCGCCGCTCACCCAGAGGCGAGGAGGTCGCACACGGGGTTCCAGGCGCAGATGAACACCTCGCTCTCGTGTCCGCGCAGCACCGTCGCCTTGCTGGGCGGGATCTCGATGTCCCCCTCGGCGGCGTCCACCTCCATGGCGTCCGCGTGGCTGTCTGCTCCGCCCACGCCACAAAGACAAAGGTCCCCCGCGTAGCCTTAGCAGACCGTCGGGGCGAGGGCTGTTAGCCAGCGGCATCGGCCGCCTACGAAGGCCGCCGCCTTGCCACACGAGGGAGAGGTGGGTGGCAGAGGTCGCTAACGGGTTTTGATTCCTTACCCGTACCCGGCCGCACCAGGGTCGCAAACGGGTACCCGTACCCTAACCCGTACCCGGCCGGGTACGGGTAGGGTACGGGTATCGGGTACCTGATTGCGACCTCTGGGATGAAGCCACGTTGCAGGCGCGGGTGGGTTGATTCTAGGAACTTGAATTGTGAGAAGAGACAAGACGTTGGGAAATGAGTGACAAACGGTGACTCACCAGTGACTCGCGGCCTACTCGTACCCGGCCGCACCAGGGTCGCAAACGGGTATCCGTACCTGGCCGGGTACGGGTATCGGGTACCCGGTTGCGACCTCTGGTGGGTGGGCAGCAACCGCCCACGGCCGCCTTTGTCTCCCCAGTGGCGATGTTTGCTATACTCCGCATCGCACCAGTTACTCATTTGAGTCGATCTAGGGGGAGCCTCAGGTTTGGTTGCGAACGGGGAGCAAATCGCAGCGCACACAAGCGTACATACACGCACGTACAGGCACGCACACTCACGTACAGGCACGCACAGGCACGCACAGGCACGCACAGGCACGCACGCACAGGCACGCACAGGCACGCACGCTGACAATGATAATGACAATAATGCCGATGATGACAATGATGACGCTGACAATGATAACGATGACGATAAGAATAAAATGGCTGACGACGATGATGTTAATTGTCATGCCGACGATGATGATGACAAATGATAAAGCTGACGATGATGACAACGACGATGATAATGCTGACGACGATCATAATGATATCGTTGATGACGACGATGATGATAATGATATAATGCTGACGACGACGATAACGATAATGGTGACGATGACGACAATGCTGACAATGATGACAACGATGATGATAATGCTAACGATGATGACAACGATAATGCTGACGATGATGACAACGATGACGATAATGCTGACGATGATGATGATAACGATAATGCTGATGATGATGACAACGATAATGCTGACGATGGTGACGATGACAATGTTGACGATGACGACAACGTTGATGACAATGCTGATGACGATGATAATGCTGATGATGATAACGATAATGCTGACGATGATGACGATGACAATGTTGACGATGATGACAACGTTGATGACGATGATGATGATGACGATAATGCTAACGATGATGATGATGACAATGCTGACGATGATGACAATGTTGACGATGATGACAACGTTGATGACAATGCTGATGACGATGACAATGCTGACGATGATGACAATGTTGACGATGATGACAACGTTGATGACAATGCTGATGACGATGATGACGACGATGACCGAACGGCGGAGGGCAACGTACTTGACAGACTGTGGCCCCCGTTCTCCACGGGTTCCCCGTTCTTGGCCGCATTCACCATTTGTCCTGGAAGGGGACCCACCCCCACGACTGTCTGCTGCACACACACACACACAGACACACACAGTTACACACACACAGACACACATGCATACAGACACACATGCATACAGACACACATGCATACACACACACAGACACACACACACACACAGATACAAACAGATACACACACACACAGATACACACACACACAGATACACACACACACACAGATACACACACACACAGATACACACACAGACACACACACAGACACACACAGAGATACACACACACAGACACACACACAGATACACAGATACACACACACACAGATACACAGACACACACACAGATACACAGATACACACACAGATACACACACAGATACACACACAGATACACACGGAGATACACACACAGATACACACACAGATACACAAACAGATACACACACAGATACACAAACAGATACACACACAGATACACAAACAAATACACACACAGATACACAAACAAATACACACACAGTCACACACAGATACACACACACAGATACACACACACAGATACACACAGATACACACACAGATACACAAACAGATACACACAGATACACAAACAAATACACACACAGGCACACACACAGATACACACACAGGCGAACAAACAGATACACACACAGGCACACACACAGAGAGATACACACACACAGAACAGTAGCGCAGCGTAGCGCTAACCGCTACACTCCCGCTCCCCCCGCACACACCCCCCCCACACACACACAGCTCAGTAGCGCTAACCGCTACACTACAGTGGCATCTACATCTACAGAACGTGAATAACCAGTGGCATCTACATCTACAGAACGTGAAGAACCAGTGGCATCTACATCTACAGAACGTGAATAACCAGTGGCATCTACATCTACAGAACGTGAAGAACCAGTGGCATCTACATCTACAGAACGTGAAGAACCAGTGGCATCTATATCTGCAGAACGTGAAGAACCAGTGGCATCTACATCTACAGAACGTGAAGAATCAGTGGCATCTATATCTACAGAACATGAAGAACCAGTGGCATCTACATCTACAGAACGTGAAGAACCAGTGGCATCTACATCTGCAGAACATGAAGAACCAGTGGCATCTACATCTACAGAACATGAAGAACCAGTGGCATCTACATCTGCAGAACATGAAGAACCAGTGGCATCTACAAAACATGAAGAACCAGTGGCATCTACATCTGCAGAACATGAAGAACCAGTGGCATCTACATCTACAGAACATGAAGAACCAGTGGCATCTGCATAACATGATGAACCAGTGGCATCTACATCTACAGAACATGAAGAACCAGTGGCATCTGCATAACATGATGAACCAGTGGCATCTACATCTGCAGAACATGAAGAACCAGTGGCATCTACATTTGCAGGAAATTATAAACCAGTGGCATCTACATCTACAGAACATGAAGAACCAGTGGCATGTACATCTACAGAACGTGAAGAACCAGTGGCATCTACATTTGCAGGAAATTAAGAACCAGTGGCATCTACATCTACAGAACATGAAGAACCAGCGGCATCTCCATCTACAGGAGATGATACAACTTTTGAAGCCATTCCCCGTGTTTAGCGTACACGCCGTACAACGCGTTTGCAATCGACTTACGAACAAGACCTCTGGATCGTGCTTTCGTTCGTGAGTAGGGTAGTTCGCTGTAACTAAATTTGCCACCTTTTGTCCACGTGACGGAACCTTGCCAATCGGCCGTGTCGGGGGGGTGGTGGTGGCGGCGGCGTCAACGACCCAAGCCAAACAAACAACCGCCTCTACTGCGAATAACATTGGGCCGCGAAAGCCCACGTGTTTAAACTGAGACCTCAAGCATCATCACCGTGCCACCGCAAATAACCTGTTGCTGTTGCTGCTGTTGCTGCTGTTGCTGTTGTTGCTGCTGCTGTTGCTGCTGCTGTTGTTGCTGCTGTTGTTGTTGTTGCTGTTGCTGCTGCTGCTGCTGTTGTTGCTGCTGCTGCGCGATCTTCTCACGGTAGGCTTGCTGTCGCGTGGACACCACGTCCGGCATCACCGCGTCGATGAGGGACAACGAGTCGATGGGCCGCCCCTCAAACACCGTGCCATCCTGCAGCGACACACACGCAGATACACATATACACACAGTCACAGACATATATATATATATACACACAGACATATATATACACACACGCAGATACACACACACAGATACACACACACAGATACATATATATATATACACACAGACATATACACACACAGATACATATATATATACACACACAGATACATATATACACACACACATACATATATACACACACACACAGATATATATATACACACACACAGATACACACACACAGATACACACACACAGATACACACACGCAGATATATATACACACAGACACACACAGATATATATATACACACAGACATATATATACACACACGCAGATACACACACACAGATACACACACACAGATACATATATATACACACAGACACAGACATATATATACACACACGCAGATACACACACACAAATACACACACACAGATAGATATATATATACACACAGACATATACACACACAGACATATATACACACACACACACAGATATACACACACACACAGATATATATACACACACACAGATATATATACACACACACAGATATATATACACGCAGACATATATACACACACACAGACATATATACACACACACAGACATATACACACACACAGACATATATACACACACACAGACATATACACACACACAGACATATACACACACACACAGACATATATACACACACACAGACATATATACACACACACAGATATATATACACGCAGATACACACACGCAGATATATACACACACAGACATATATACACACACAGACATATATACACACACACAGACATATATACACACACACACAGATATACACACACACAGACATATATACACACCCCGTGTGCCCGCCCTCACAGTCGGGCATATTTGCGGAATACCCCACGCCCTGGCCGTTGACCCTGCAGGCCATTGACCGAGCAACCCGACAACGTTGCTACCAGCTCCCTCCTCCGCAGGAGAAATGTGTTATACACTTTTTGGCAATAAAACAGGTGGTGGTTAAGATGGTCAAACAACAAATAGAAACCCTTTGCAAGGAATCACTCAGTTTTATTGCCAGAAAGGGTAAAACCTATTCTTATATTTTCACACTCTCTATATTTAAGGGACCGTCACAGAAACGACCCCTCTCTCTGTGCCGATATGTGTCCTCTCTCTGTGTGTCCTTGTGATGTCTGTCTGCTTATGTCTGTCTATAGTTTTCTATTTCGATTTTTATTGCTATTTCTTTAATGCCTGATGATGATTGCTTGTGTTGCAATCGAAACGGCTATTATTTAAATTTATTATTTTATTTTTAGACGTGACTTAACCGAAAGAACCAAAGAATAACTGGCAAGGTGGTCCCATTTTAATACTGACGCTGCTGCTGCTGCCACTTAGCACAGCAGAGGGCGCTGGGAGACTGCACACCACGTGAGGTTACAGGCAAAGTCTACAGAAAATAACCGTACCCACAAATTTCGATTTAAAGCTTTCGTGACTGCAGGGATTCATCTTCTTGGTTCTTTCGGTAAAGTCACCACGTAGAATGGAAATAATAAAAATAAAACATAATAAAATAATTCTCACGACGTTTCGGCCACAACTCAAGCAGCCGTCCTCAGGTGAAGAACAGGTCTGTCGAGAAGACAGCGTCTGAATATGGTATTGTCATGAGTATGACATAAGTAATTCTATATTACTCATTCTGACGCTGTCTTCTCGACAGACCTGTTCTTCACCTGAGGACGGCTGCTTGCGTTGTGGCCAAAACGTCGTGAGAATTATTTTATTATGTTTAATTTTTATTATTTCCATTCCACGTGACTTTACCGAAAGAACCAAGAAGACATACCCACAAACTATTCTTATTTAAACCCTCGTATAAAGGTGCCCTCACTGAGCTGCTGTGCATCTATTTTTTTCCGGAAGCGGATCATCATCGCGTGGAAAATGAAAAGCAACAGCCAAAATACTGCTAAACGCAAGGTGGTCTCGATTCTAAACGTGGAAGGAAAAACCAGAGGACCCAGAGAAAAATCCACGCGACCACAGGGAGAGAGAAACACGCAGACTCAATATATACACCAGCAGCAGGCATCGTCAGGGTCGGGATCGAACTCACGACCTCATGCGTGCCAGGCGAGGTAGTCAACATCTCCTAGCCACCGTGATGATGATGAGAGAGAGACGCAGACTTCAAATATACAGCAGCAGGCATCGTCAGAATCGGGATCAAACCCACGACCTCCTGCATACCAGGCGAGGTAGTCAACATCTCCTAGCCACCGTGATGATGATGAGAGAGAGAGAGACGCAGACTTCAAATATACAGCAGCAGGCATCGTCAGGGTCGGGATCGAACTCACTACCTCCTGCGTGCCAGGCGAGGTAGTCAACATCTCCTAGCCACCGTGATGATGATGAGAGAGACACCCAAATTCCAAATATACAGCAACAAGCGTTAGGGTTGCAATCGAACCCACGACCTCCTGCATACCAGGCGAGGTAGTCAACATCTCCTAGCCACCGTGATGATGATGAGAGAGACACCCAAATTCCAAATATACAGCAACAAGCGTTAGGGTTGCAATCGAACCCACGACCTCCTGCATACCAGGCGAGGTAGTCAACATCTCCTAGCTACCGTGATGATGATGAGAGAGACACACAAATTCCAAATATACAGCAGCAGGCGTTAGGGTTGCGATCGAACCCACGACCTCCTGCGTACCAGGCGAGGTAGTCAACATCTCCTAGTCACCGTGATGATGAGAGAGAGACGCAGACTCCAAATATACAGCAGCAGGCATCGTCAGGGTCGGGATCGAACCCACGACCTCCTGTATACCAGGCGAGGTAGTTAACATCTCCTAGCCACCGTGATGATGATGATGAGAGAGACGCAAAATCCAAATATACAGCAGCAGGCGTTAGGGTTGCAATCGAACCCACGACCTCCTGCATACCAGGCGAGGTAGTCAACATCTCCTAGTCACCGTGATGATGATGATAAGAGATATGCAGACTCCAAATATACAGTAGCAGGCGTTAGGGTGGGGATCGAACCCACGACCTCCTGTACACCAGGCGAGGTAGTCAACATCTCCTTGTTACCGTGAGTCCACAGTGAAGGGAGTGGATCTGTGCGGTCAAACTGAAACGGAACTGGGCCTCCCCTAGGTCGTCTCGGCCTTAAGTCTGTACCCATCGGTGCGCGTGGCGAAAAAGAGTTCCGATTCCCGTTCACGACCAACACCAGTGCCGATGCACTGGTCAACAACAAAAAATTCTGGCCTGGACTTTTGCAGCTGTTCTAGACTAATTTCAGGGTGCCGATTCCAAATTTGATCTCAGATTTGCTCTATCACATCTCATTTTTATGCTATCGGCATACCCCATTTTCATTGATTTTACCCGAAATTAACTCTGTCACTTATGATTGCGAGTTGTTGCGAGTCAGTGACTGCTTTAGTGTTAAAACATGGTGCTGTATTTGTAGGATAGTGTGTTTATAGTATCATTTTATGTAGATATCCACATTTATTTAATATTTTTCTTCTGCAGTTTTTATTGAAAATGCAATATTTGACATCTCAAAAACCTGATGTGATAGACAAAAACTGATGCCAGATTTGGAATCAGCACCCCCCAAAATTACCTTAAAACGGTTGGAATACCTTATGCCAGAAAAAGTGTGTTGACCAGTGATCTGAACCCGTTTGCGACCCTGGTGCGGCCGGGTACGGGTAGGCCGTGAGTCACTGGTGAGTCACCGTTTGTCACTCATTTCCCAACGTCTTGTCTCTTCTCACAATTCAAGTTCCTAGAATCAACCCACCCTACCCCTACCCGTACCCGGCCGGGTAGGGTACGGGTACGGCCGGGTACGGGCACCCGTTTGCGACCCTGGTGCTGCCGGGTACGGGTAAGGAATCAAAACCCGTTTGCGACCTCTGGTGTGCCGTGCGTGTGCCGTGCGTGTGCCGTGCGTGTGCCGTGCGTGTGCCGTGCGTGCATGGCGCGTATGATTCACGAATCACCGCGTCGGTGCGGGCACCCGCCTCGTTGATGGAGATCTCCGCCTCCACGTACTGCAGCCCCTTCTGGATGATGGAAATGAGGGCGGCGGGTGGCACCAGCGCGCCGTTGATCGTCGACTGGCTGATGTGGCTTTCGATGCCGAACGTGAAAGCCGAGTGGGAGAAGCCTGGGTGGGGTGAGGGGAGGGAGGGATGGTAGCGGTGGTGGGGAGGGGCGATTAGCAACGGTTGGCTGGGTACGGCGAGCAAAAAAGTTTGTGTGTGTGCGTGTTGCGATTGTAGTTGTGTGCGTGTGTATGCGTGAGGGTGTGATTGCTTGGTTGTGTACGGGTGTGTGTGGGAATGGTTGTGTGGTTGTGTGTGTGTGGGAATGTGTGTGTGTGTGAGCGACGCTCACAACGAGCGGAGCGCCGGGTGGCTAAAGCACAGCAAGTTGGTACAGTAGGGGGCGCACAGGTGGTGCATCAGCCAGTCATCTCGGTCATCTCGGTCAGTCGACCCGTGGCACCTGCTGGGTCTGCCCCGTGACCTCCTGCCAGCGGGCGTTCGACACTTCACGTGGCCTCAAGGTGCACGTGGCCTGGCACAAGCATCGTGGTGACGTCACCGCCACTTAGTGGCGAATGGCGGTTGTTGTTGTTGTGGTTGTGTGTGTGGGAATGGCTGTGTGGTTGTGTGTGTATGTGCGAGGGTGCGATTGCTTGGTTGTGTGTGGGTGTGTGTGGATATGGTTGTGTGGTTGTGTGTGTGGGAATGGCTGTGTGGTTGTGTGTGTATGTGCGAGGGTGCGATTGCTTGGTTGTGTGGTGCGGGTGTGTGTGGGAATGGTTGTGTCAGTGTGTGTGTGGTTGGGGAGCGGTGGTGCAGCGGTTAGCGCGCTGCGCTATGAACCCAACGACCCGGGTTCGATTCCCGCCCACGGCCAACACCAGTGACAATTATCTGAACCGGTTCTGGGCCTCCCCTAGGTCGACTCAGCCTCAAATGAGTAACTTGGTGCGGTGTGTAGTTAACATCGCCACTGGGGGAGAGACAAAGGCGGTCGGGCGTGGTGCTGGCCACCCACCCCCTCGTGTGCCCGTTCCGGCCTTCACAGGTGCTCGCTAACAGCACTTGCCCCTACAGTGTGTTGTGGTTGCGTGCACGTGTGCAAGACACAGACCTGACTCCTGCAGGTAGCGGTAGACCAGGAAATTCACTTCATCGCTGCTGATGCTCATCTTTCTCCACTCCACCCTACCTACGCATGGGGAGCCCTGGGGGCAGCCACTGGCACCCTGCACACACGGACACAGACACCGGAGCCTTGAACAGCGAGCGGCAGCAACTATGAAGGCACACGAGGGGGTGGGTGGCCACCACCAGGCCCGACCGCCTTTGTCTCTCCCCCAGTGGCGATGTTTACTACACCACGCCACTAGGTACTCATTTGATGCCGAGTCGACCAAGGGGAGGGACCAGGACCGGTTAAGATAATCGTCGCCGGTTGGCAGTGAGCGGGAATCGAACCCGGGTCGCCAGGTTGGTAGTGCAGCGTAGCGCTAACCGCTACACTACCGCTCCCCACACGTGTACCGCTCCCCATATGCACGCGCGCACACACACGCGTACACGCGCACACACGAGCGCACACACACGCGTACACGCGCACACACACGCGCACACACACGCACGCACACACACGTACACGCACACGCGTACACACACACACGCGCACACACACGCGTACACACACACGCACACACACGCGCGCACACACGCGCACACACACGCGCACACGAGAGTGCCAAGAAGTCAGTGCCGTCACTTCCGTCCCCCTGTTAAGGTTCCTCAGCGTGGGTACAACTTGCCACCATCATCACAACCACCACCACCAACATAATTAACACAACTACCATCATCACCACAACCACCATCATCATCACAACCACCATAATTATCACCACAATCACCACCACAACCATCATCACCACCATAACCACAATCATCACCATAACCACAATCATCATCATCACCATAACCACAATCATCATCACCACCACCACAACCATCACGACCACAACCACAATCATCATCACCATAACCACAATCATCATCATCACCACCACCACAACAACCATCATCACCACCACAACCACCATCATCACCACCACCATCTGGCTTTACGTCTTCCCTCCTTACACAGTCTGTACGGGGGTCCTTCAAATTGCTGCTCTTACCATCTCATCGCTACCACGACCACCAACCCACACCACTAATATCAGAACCACAACAACCAAGATGACCACCACCACCACCTGTATCACCATCATCGTTACCATTCTCTTTGGTTCTTTCGGTAAAGTCACGTAGGTAGAAAAAGAATACATCACGACGTTTCGATCGCATCACAAGCAATCGTCATCATTATTAAATCCTTTATATTAAGTTCGCTTGCTTGCTTGCTTACGACCGTGCAAATCTTTCGGTCGTTTTTTTAACCCACTTCCCGTGATCCAATCGAGCTGACATTTTGCACACAGACTCGTTGTGCGTGACAATTTATTTCCAAAATTTTCCACTTTTTAGGAATTTTTTTTTCATATTTCATTTAAAATACCAATGTGATAAAAATGAAACTCTTACTCAAGAAAAACAGAAATGAATGATAAAATAAAACCGATGCCACGCATATAAAGGATTTATAGTGAAAAACTTTGTTTTTACGGGTTAATTTTTTTTTTCTACCCAAGCGTGGATTCCTGCAGTCACGAAAGCTTCAAATCATCATAATTACTCCCAAAATCATCATCACCAGCACCAACAACAACAACAGCCATTCGCCAATAAGCGGCGGTGACGTCGTCACGGCGCCTGTGCCAGGCTAGGTGCACTCCGAGGCAACGTGAAGTGTCGAAGGCTCGCTGACAGACGACAGGACAGACCCTGCAGGTGCCATGGGTTGACCGACTGAGACGACTGGCAGATGCACCAGCCGTGCCCCCCTACTGTGCCAACTCGCTGCGTTTTACCCGCCCGGCACTCGGCTCGTTGTTGTGAGCGTCGCTCCTTCGCCCTCCGCTGTTGTTGGAGGGCGACTGCCTCCCAACTGCCCAGTAGCAAGCGTCCTTCACGAGCCTCCTCTATCACCACCACCACCAGCACCAAAGACAAAGATACCCCGTATATTCTTAGCAGACCGTTGGGGCAAGTGCTGTTAACGAGCACCTATGAAGGCCGGAACGGTATACGAGGGGGTGGGTGGCCAGCACCACGCCCGGCCGCCTTTGTCTCTCCCCCAGTGTCGATGTTTACCACACACCGCAGCACCAGGTATTCATTTGAGGCCTGAGTCGACCTAGGGGAGGCCCAAGACCGGTTCAGATAATCATCACCGGTGTTGGCCGTGAGCAGGAATCGAACCTGGGTGGCCGGGTTCATAGCGCAGCGTAGCGCTAACAGCTACACCACCACTCCCCAGCACTTCACAAAGACAAAGATCCCCCGTGTAGCCTTAACAGACTGTTGGGGCAATTGCTGTTTGCGAGCGCCTACGAAGCACCGGCATGACACAAGAGGGGGTTGGGGGTGGACCAGAGGTCTCAAACTGGTTTTGATTCCTTACCCGTACCCGGCCGCACCAGGGTCGCAAAGGGGTACCCGTACCCTACCCGTACCCTACCCGTATCCGGTCGGGTACGGGTAGGGTATCGGGTACCCGATTGCGACCTCTGGGATGAAGCCATGTTGCAGGCGCGGGTGGGTTGATTCTAAGAAACTTGAATTGTGAGAAGAGACAAGACGTTGGGAAATGAGTGACAAACGGTGACTCACCAGTGATTCACGGCCTACCCGTACCCGGCCGCACCAGGGTCGCAAACGGGTACCCGTACCCGGCCGGGTACGGGTAGCCGGGTAGCCGGGTAGGGTACGGGTATTGGGTACCCGGTTGCGACCTCTGGGGTGAACACCACCATGTCCGGCCGCCTTTGTCTGCCCAGTGGCGATGTTTACCCACCGCACCAGGTATAGTGACCACCATCATAATCATCACCATCACCATCACCACGCGTGTTTACTCAGGAATGCCACAGTCTCAAGACTCTCTTTCAGGAGGGTCCTGCCACGGAACGGTGTGGGTGGCAATGGTTGCTGTGCATTTCCCAAGCGAGTTGCGGGCACGTGTATTTGTTGAACTTCTTTCGCGCCGTACGTAAACAACCGTGCTGTGTGTGTGTGTATGTTGAAATTATTTCACGCAGTACGTAGCTAAATGTGCTAATCGGAGGTGCGGAGACAAGAGGGCACACCTGGACAGGGAGACACGGGGACAGGGAGACACGGGGACAGGGAGACACGGAAACAGAGACACGGGGATAGGGAGACACGGAGACACGGGGACAGGGAGACACGGGGACAGGGAGACAGGGAAACACGGGGACACGGAGACAGAGACACGGGGACAGGGAGACACGGGGACAGGGAGACACGGGGACAGGGAGACACGGGGACAGGGAGACACGGGGACAGGGAGACACGGGGACAGGGAGACACGGGGACAGGGAGACACGGGGACAGGGAGACACGGGGACAGGGAGACACGGGGACAGGGAGACACGGGGACAGTGAGACACGGGGACAGGGAGACACGGGGACAGGGAGACACGGGGACAGGGAGACAGGGAGACACGGGGACAGGGAGACACGGGGACAGGGGAGACAGAGAGACACGGGGCCAGAGAGACACGGGGACAGGGAGACACGGAAACAGAGACACGGGGACAGGGAGAAACAGAGACACGGGGACAGGGAGACACAGAGACACGGGGACAGGGAGACAAGGAGACAGGGAGATAGAGAGACAGAGAGACACGGGGACAGAGAGACACGGGGACAGGGAGACACAGGGACAGGGAGACACGGGGACAGCGAGACACGGGGACAGAGAGACACGGGGACAGGGAGACACGGGGACAGGGAGACACGGGGACAGGGAGACACGGGGACAGGGAGACACGGGGACAGGGAGACACGGAAACAAAGACACGGGGACAGGGAGACACGGAGACACGGAGACAGGGAGACAAGGAGACACGGAGACAAGGAGACACGGAGACACGGGGACAGAGAGACACGGGGACAGGGAGACACGGGGACAGAGAGACACGGGGACAGAGAGACATGGGGACAGGGAGACACAGAGGCGAGCTGTGTGTCGTTATCGAGGCAAACACATTCTTCAGGGACCAACATTACCGGCTCATCAGCACCGCCGTAGCCTCCCCCATTGCACGCTCAGCTCGTGCTCTCGCGAGATCCGTGCGCCTGGTTTCCTCTCCCCTCCTCCAACGCCTCTTCTCTCACCGCTCCACCCAAAATAACCTCCACCCCCCCTCCCTCCTCCACCCCTCCCTCATCCTCCCCTCCTCCACCCGCCTCCTCCTACAGCATCTCCTCCTCCTCCCCTCCCTCCTCCTCCCCCTCCACCATCCCCCCCTCCCTCCTCCTCCTCCACCCCACCCCTCCCCCCCTCCCCCCCTCCCTCATCCTCCTCCACCCCTCCCCCCCCTCCCCCCTCCCTCATCCTCCCCCTCCACCCCTCCCTCCTCCTCCCTCCCTCCTCCACCCCTCCTCCCCCTCCTCCCCCTCCCCCCCTCCACCCCTCCTCCCCCTCCACCCCCTCCCTCCTCCCTCCCCCTCCACCCCCTCCACCATCCTCCCCCTCCCCCCCTCCCCTCCTCCTCCTCCCCCTCCACCCCTCCCTCCTCCTCCCCCTCCACCCCTCCTCCTCCTCCCCCTCCACCATCCTCCCCCTCCCCCCCTCCCTCCTCCTCCTCCCCCTCCACCCCTCCCTCCTCCTCCCCCTCCACCCCTCCTCCTCCTCCCCCTCCACCATCCTCCCCCTCCCTCCTCCTCCTCCACCCCTCCCCCCCCTCCCCCCCTCCCTCATCCTCCCTCCTCCAACAGCATCTCCTCCTTCTGTTCATCCTCCTCTTCTACCCCCTCCTCCATCACCTTCACCCCCCTTCCCTGCTGTTCACATCCTCCTACACCACCCCTCTCATATTCCCCAGCTTTCCTCACCACCCTCTCCTCCTACTCCTGCATATCCTCCTCCTACCTCATCATCATCATCATCCTCCTAATTCGTCATCATCATCTTCCTCATGATCCACCACCTCCACCATCTGCGGCTGATAATGATGAAGATTGTGAGAGATGCCGACTAGGGGAGAGGGGGCCTTCATCCAGCAGTGGATTGGCCATGGCTGACGATGATGGTGTGCAGGTGTTGCGT